AGTTTTCAATGCTTTATTGGATATGAGTTTAATAAATGAAGCACAAAGGATCGGTTAGTAGTACATATTCCAAAAGGCCCACAGAAAGCAAGCAATCCAAAAAGAGAAAGCAGATCACTGGATTTAAAAATTATGTAACTATGATTAAGCTATTTTAAAGAGAAAAATCAGCAATGGATTTAAAAATTATGTAACTATAATAAAGCTATTTTTAAGAGATAAATCAGCAATTCTCGGAACTTTATTCTTTCAGTATTATGGCTTTTCATCTTTATTGAATCACAGTGTGATATACAGTTACAAAGTTGTTCATGATTGGGTTTCAGTCATACAATGTTCCAACACCCATCCCTTTACCAGTGTACATTTCCCACGACCAATGTCCCCAGTTTCCCTCACCCACACCTGCCTCTATGGCAGAAAATCTCTCTCTCTCTCTCTCTCTCTTCCCCTCCCCCCCTTACTTCCTCCCTCTCTCCCTCTTCCTCGCCTTCTCCCTCTTTTTATGGCTTTTTCAATAGTCACTTTATCTTAAGCAGACTGATCTGGACTATTTATGTTGCAACCATCTGTCAATTATCAGTATTGCCCTAAGCACATCAGTGCAATGAAGTAAAGGTAAATAGAACTCAGGTGGTTGTCACCCTTCTTCCTTGAGATAAACACTCATTGCCTCCCCCTCTATAATTTGACAATAGCACTGTAGCATTGTCGTCCCATTGTTCACCAATTTGCTTGAGCGGGCACCAGTAACGTCTCATAACAAATTGTGAGACTTGTTGTTACTGTTTTTGGCATATCGAACACATCACGGATAGCTTGCCAGGCTCCGCCGTGCAGGTGAGATACTCTCGGTAGCTTGCCGGGCTTTCTGAGAGGGATGGAGGTTGAACCCGGGTTGGCCACGTGCAAGGCAAATGCCCTACCCGCTGTGCTATCACTCCAGCCCATCTCACATTAATACAATTTAAAAAAAAAAAAGTCATGTGGAGTTCATGCCCAATTCAATCAGCTTAATCAATGGCTGAACAAATAGCAGTACTCCTAGATTATTAAAAAATAAATTAAATAAATAAAAATCACAGCAATGGATACAACAGAAAACACCCCACTGAAAGAAAGCAGAGAGAGAAAAAGAGAGAGAGAGAGAGAGAGAGAGAGAGAGAGAGAGAAAGGGGCGGGAAACTCCTTTTCCAAAAGAGCTTTAGATGAAAGATGATCCTCACTCTGGACAGTTGATCCTCACTCTAGACAGTTCCACCAACTTTAACATGCAGCTTTCTCCTAGCAGTCTCAAGATTTCTGGGAATATCTTGTTTAAAGAATACAGAAAGCCCAACTTCATGTTCAGAAGCTTCTAGTCCTGCTCCTGTCACATCCTCTTTCAAATCTTAAGTCTTTCCCAGCCTCAGTTTCCTTAACTGTAAAGTGACAATACTGTCAAGATATTTTGTTGACATATCTTTTAGTTAAAAAAATGAGACAGAGTGACAGAGGCTGGGCCTGGGCAATCTGTCTCCACTGACATCTGGTGGGCAAATCCAGGCTCCCCATCCTTGAATTCAAGCAAGCTGCATCCACCCTAGGGAAAGCCAGCTTCATTTCTTTTCGTAAAAACACAAAGAGAGACCGGAGCAATAGTACAGCAGGTAAGGCGCTGGCCTTGCATGCAACTGGCCCAAGTCTGATGTCCAACATACTATATAGTTTCCTGAGCCCAAGTGATTCCTGAGCACAAAGCCAGGAATGACCCCTGAGCACCACTCAGGTATGTGCCGCCCCCCACTCCCCAACCAAAATAAAACCACAAAGCAAGTTTTCTCAAAATAGAAATTCTTCTAAAAAGCAAGACAGTGCCTGTTTGAGCATTTCTTGAAACTGTACAAATGATGCGCCATCTGCTTCCTTGACCAAAAACGTCAAAGTCATGAAGCGTCCCAAGTTCTTCATTCCCCTTGTTTCCCAGAGTCACGGGGCCTTGTGGCAAGAGAACGCCTCTCTGGCCCTGAATACCAAGTCACCCTCGGAACACGGGGCATCCTAGAAGCTCCCCAGGGGCCTGGAGGAGTAGTAGTAAGAGAAAGTCCAAATCAGAGACAGAAAGGAGATGTGAGGGGAAGGGAAGGACTGAGGTCCTGGGGCATTCACGAAGAAACAAGTTCAACTGAGAAAAAAGTCTTCTGGACATAAAGATGACCTGGCAGTGGTCGGAATGGAGAAGACTTGGTTAGGGCACAGGTGCGGTGGGCTTGGTGAACAGCAACCTGCTCCTCCGTGGAGGCACTGCTTTGGCCCCCCCTCAACTGGTTCCAGAGGGTCAAAGGGCTTGGACTCCTTTATCCACTCAACTGATATTAACTGCTGCCTAGTGTATACCCGGCCATGCCCTGGGTGCAGAGGATAAAGAGAGAAATCAGACACAGTCCTACCTACCCTTCAGGAACTGAGAAGGGAGACAGAAATGCAGAAAGCACACACACACACACACACACACGTGTGTGTGTGTATTTTTTTTTTTTTAAGAAAGACTGTGATTCGAGGCTAAAAAGAACAGAGATACAAGTCTGGCAGATTCAGCCTCCAAGGAGTTTGAAACCTAAGAGGGTAACGCAGACAATAAAACAAGACAGTGCACTCTGGTGACCCTGGGAAGGGGAAATGCTATCTGGCAAATAAGCAGTGAGAAGAGACGCCCACATCCTAAGGACTGAGCAGCCAGCTCTGAGCTGCGTGGAAGGTCCTACAGTGGGAGGCTGTACGGCCTCCCCCCATCACCCCTCCCCGGACCCCCCCACCCCCACACTCCAACCCCCCACCCTTGTACACGAGAAACACAGCTCCTGGCCTCATCTTTATGGCCGTAATTTTCTTCCAGATATCTTGAGACCTGGTGGCCAGGAAAAACCAGTCCAAATACCAATGCGAAGAACACGGACAGGACAGACTTGGTAGGGGCAGCCTTGATGCAACTGAATCTGTGAGATATGCAGCATCTGTCCCTCCCCAGGGCCCAGGGAACTTCCCCAGCCTGTTCATTTCTTCTTCACAGTGACGACCACCTACACTATCTCTCCCGGTTGAGACGACCTCATTCTCTTCCTAACGGTGCCGGCACCCTTCTCTTCTGCTGTTCCTTTTCTTCACAGCTGCCATCATCTTCCCCTTCCCCCTCCGGAGCTCCCAGCTCTGCTCACCACCCTAAACCCGGATCCTCAATCACATGTGAATGAGACAGAGGTCTTCTCTGGCTGTTGGCTCTTTGCAAAGATCAGTCACTTATTATTTTACCCAATAAGTGAAGGCCCTACAAACCAGGATAAAGGTGAATGCTAGTTAGTAGGCAATGGGAAACCACAAGTTATTTCCAACCAGGGAATGGCAATAAAAAGTAGTTTACATTATGCATGGGCACTTGAGAAATATTTCAAGTATAAGGATGATCGAATGTTCGTAACGGTAGAGTGGGAAGGTAACTTGGGCAAATACAGAATTGCAGAAGCTAGCGTTAAAAGTCATTCTAAGCCGCAGACTTATGTCACATGCAGAAGTGGGGTCACATAAGCGCCACCTTCGTTTTGGGGGACATAAGCTCTGTTTTCGTCCTGTGGCTGTCCCAACTCTAGGGGGAACCTGCAACTTCAAGCCTCTTGGGCCACCTGCCATGACAAAGAGGTGCTTTCCATGGTCATCACTCAACATGAATTATATTTACCGCCACCGAGTTAAGGCATGATCCTCCTTAACAGGGGCAGGACAAAACCCCCATATGTTTCCTGTTGTGAAACCAGTTCTAGAAGAAATGGAGATGAAACAGCCAATGATCTCTCAGGCATCACCTAAGAGCTCCAGCCCTGGCAGAGCTCAGCCCCCCAGACTATTAAGATTGTGGCCTCCCTACTTCACAAATACTGATTTCAGAAAACAAGGGGCTCCGAGATCTTCCCAGAGGGTTGGGAATCAGCTGAGGCAGGACAACCAGGATTAGTAACAGCAGCTTGAACAAGCTACAAAGATGCCAGGAAGACAGTGGCCAAGGACTGACAGTCCTGCCATGCTCATTTCTTGCATCTTTTCTCTTCCAGTCTCAGAAACTGCGAGCAACTTGAGGCAGGGACAATGGAACATTCCGTCCAGTGTTTGAAAGTTCTAACCCATGTTCTTTCCCCATCAAAAACCACCTTAGCCAGAGTGATAGGACAGTGGGAAGTGTGTATGCCTTGCATGAGGCCAATCCGAGTTTGACCCCCAGCACCCCTTATGGTCCCTCAATCACCACCAGGAGTAAGCCCTGAGCATTGCTAGGTATGGCCAAAATAAAAGTGACAAAACCCACCCACATTAATAGATGGCCCTCTGTCACAGGAGAAACAGTAAGTTGTGTTATTAAGCAGCTCTATCCCTCACTTCTCCTTTCCTCCCAAGGCCATCATGCTTTCCTGGGGTAAGGAAGGGGTGAGCAGATCTGCAGAGCTTGGGAAGGCAGGTGACCTCATGATTTTGTTCTGTCTGGTTCTCTAGGATCCAGAGCCTGTGAAGCTCTGAACAGGATTAAAAGGATGTTGCGTGTTGGGTGTGAATAACAGAACCAACCCTCCAGGTCTTCCTGCAATGGTACACTCGGACGAGCTGCTGAGTCCTTGGGAAGATAAGTCTTCTGACGTCCACTTGGAGATCAGTGTCCCAGACGCAGGTGGCCTTGTTGACCCCGGAGCACGGGAGGACTCAACCTCCTGGCAGGAAGAGAAAAGCCAAGTCCTGAGGCCATCCTGTCATCTCCCGAATGAAGACCTGAGAGCTCAGAAGACACGTCCATCCACGGTTCAGAGCTGGCCGGTGGCACAGTCAGGCCACATCAGGGCCTGCCACCCCCAGTTCAGCGATGTTTCCCCTGCAGCAGTTACAACAACTTTTTCCTTTTGCTCTTTGGTAAAGGAGAAGCCACAGCAGGGAGCAGAACCAAAGTACTGATTTTGGTTCCCTGTGGGTGGCAGCAACCTCTCTTGCACTGATCTCCTTTTCCCGAGCCTCCCCCAGTTCCCTGCCTGTGAAAAGGCACATGCTAAGTTGGCGGGCTCTGGACCAGCTCGGGGTTCCTAGCAGGGTTGATGCAGTGCTCCTGCATGTGACTAAGGATCTCTTCATCTGTGAACAGGCAAAAGGCAATCTGTTCACACTCCTGCTCTATCCCACACTCAAACAAACACCCAAATAAGCCCTCCTTCTCCACAGCGGCCAGATCAGAGTAGCCGCAGGGTCCCCAGTGCAGGACCCAGGGGCGGGACCAGCAGGCAGCCTCCAGAGGCGAGTGGTTGAGGTAGATGCCCAAGTTGACCCTCCGTTTCTTGTTGGTTGGGTGTGAGTACAAAAGCCATGATTCGCTTCCTGCTTCCTGCTGCAGTCTCTGAGAGTTGTCAGGCTGAGGGTGCGACTTCTTGGGAGAAAAGTCTTTGCCCTTCGGGGCCTGGTACCCATGGAGGAGCTCCCGGGGCTGGAAACTCACGACACTGCCTTGGCAGCCATGTGGGGGCTCCAAGAGCTGTTGGCTCAGGACTGATCTCTGAAAGCATTCGCCGTTATCGGTGCTGACTGCTTCTGCCCTGTGCTTCTTGGGTGTCCGGGCACTGCAGTACAGCACAGGGTGATTGGTTCTCCCTTTCACCTCTGCCACTTGGCATTCCCCTGTGACCAGGGGCTGAAGGAGATGGCCATGGTGCCAGGTTGTACCTAGATCATCACTGTAGATCATCAGGGAATGAGGCTTGGAGGCACAGGGCAGCCGGAAGCCAAAGCAACAGTAAGGGATGTAGTAGGTATAGGCAGGGATGACCAGCCTTCCTGATTGCAGCTGGACACCGTGACCCGGGCCCACAGCAAATGTGGCCCAGCGCTTCACCTCGGGCCCAATGACCTCCTCCGTCAGATCCCTCACCCCGCCCCATGAACGGCCAGCATCCTCACTGCAGATAACACAAAGGCGGGCTGCGTTCCGGCCTGACACAATCTGATGCTGCTCGGTCACGTGGTCCCGCACACAGATGAAGAAGAGGTACACGAGGCCATGCTTCTCCTCCCACACAGGGCAGGGGTTCATGGTTCGATGATGAGGTAATGTGGCTTCCATCAGCGGTGTCATGGGTCCCCACTAGACAAGAGGAACAAAGAGAGAACAGAGGTGAGACTCTCACTGGAAGATGTCACTCTCATTCAACAGCATTGGCATTGGACACGATGTCAACTCAGGTCCTGGCGAGAGCACCAGACATCATTGCCAGAAAGACTTAGGTGAGGAGAATTCCATGATGTCAGCCCAGGCTCCAAGGAAGAGGGAGGGAGTGAAGCAGAAGAAAGGGCCATCAATTCAGGAGAGGATGAAAGCTAGGAAAGAAGCGAGGAGAGACCTGGTCTTCCAGGATCTTCTCGCAAGGGAAGAGGCTCTGGAGTGGCAGAAATGGCCACTGGACTAAACAGTTGGACTGACCCTGGACTAAACAGCCTACCAAGTGCAGAGGGCAGTATGAGCAGGCTCAGGACCAAGGGCAGGTATTGCATTAGTGACAACTGAAAGGCTATCAGATGCCTCAGGAGCTTGGACAAGGACAAGGGAAGAAAAACTCTACCTTTTTGACCGGAGATTAGACCTCCTAGTTGGTAAGGTTCCGGATACAGAACAACAGATCAATTGATTGAGTATCTTATCTTAGGTGTCTACCTGTGCTCCACAGGGCAAAGTTGATCTGGCCTTAGGCTGACAAAGATGTCTTTAAGCATGAAGTGCGGTCTCAAACAAATGCAATATCTGCTTCCCATATCAGGAGTCAGTTACCTGCACGCTATTGCCCCATGGAGGAGCCTTAAAGACTTCTGTATAATATTCTTTCAGAGTGGTGGATTTTCATTTGCACTTATCTCCACCTATTGGTTGCTGCTCAAAGGCCTGTGTTTGGGACAACAGGTCGATTTTCAAAGGCCCTCCAGAGAGCACAGCAAACTATTTAGAAAAATAAGTAAAATCATTAGCATTTCCTCAAGATCATAAATGGTCCTAGAAACTAGTAACTATATAATGTCCAAAATATTCACTCAACCTGGAAAGTGACAGTGCTGGGTACTGTACCTGCTCACCTCTCTGCTACAATGTTCTTCCTTACTTGGTCTAGATACTTAATTCATTCTCCAATACCTAGCCCCCAAATCCTCATGAAATTCCCTCTCCTCTCCATCAAAGCAATTAAGTGACTTTCTCTTTGTAAATTAAACAAAAATTTAAAAAAAAACTTGTAACAGTTGTTACAGTAGAAAAATTAGAATGTGGTACGTGAAGGGCTTCCTTCCTATTAAGTCTTTTGTGGTAGAAATCAAATGATTCTGAGTTTGCATTTCCAATGCCCAGTCTTGAAAAGAGCTAAATATTTTTGTCAGATAGAACGTAAGTAATTTTTTAAAACAAGAAAGCAGCAAAGGCAGGCAGAAGTCAGAGAGAAGGTGTTGAAAGGCTGGAGACTCATACTTTGCACGCTGGAGGCCTGGATTTGATCCCTGGCAAGCATCATGCCAGGGGTAGTCCCTGAACGCTGTCAGATGTGGCTGACCAATAAATAAATAAATAAATAAAAGGAAAAAAATAGCAAACACAAATATGAAAGTTATAGGCAAATAAAGGAAAATTTATACAAATATTTTTCTTTTCCTATTACCTGAGGCAATTAAAACTATTTTATTAAGATCTCAAGGATCACCTTTTATCCCCGCCCCCCTCCTCCATGGGATCCTGGAGGTCACACCCACAACCTGCCTTGGGCTGGTACTTAAGCTCCTTCAAAGGCCATGATCCAGAGACACACAAAAGAATCTCTAACCCGAGCAGCTCACTGCAGAGATGCCTCTGGACTTTAAGCCAGGCCAAGGGGTGCGTCAGACGGGGGCAGGTGTTGTCCCTCCACCTGCCCCCTAAAAGCCCCAGCAGCCGCCAACTTCCAGAACCCAATGAAAAGTGCAGGTATGTGAGTTCAGTGACTGAAAACTCCAGGGTAGGGGATGGGCCAGTCCTTCTCATCCCCCCATCTCTGTCCCCATGGGACCCTGGAGGTCACACCCACAAACTGCCTCCAGATTCTACTTAAGCCCCTTAATGGCCACCAGGATTAATTACTGAGTGCAGAGCCAGGAATAACCCCTGAGCACTGCCGGGTGTGGTTTTCCAAAATGAATACAAAGAAAGTAATTTTTTTTTTAAACACTGGGTATTAGTAGCTACAAAAGGAATATAGATTTCTGTACTAGGATTAAAAAGTTGAGTTGATGATTCTTCTCATTTTAAGATTCTCCCATTGAAGGTATTTGCCTTGCATGCTGCCAGCCTGAGTTCAATCCCTGGCAACCCATATGGTCCCCCAAGCACCGCCAAGAGTAAATCCTAAGTGCAGAGCCTGGAATAAGCCCTGAACATTGACAGGTTTTGCCAAAAAGTGGGGGGGAAAATAACAAAAATAATAAAGTAAAAATGAAAACAAGCTCAAAAGAGAATGAGTTAAAGTGGGCATGCTTGGTGCGTGACTATCAGATGGGATGGTGATGGTCTGATGAAAAATACTGAACAACCCAACTACTTGTGGTAGAAAGCAGATAATGCCTGGTTCTGGAGCAAACTCCATGTTTGCTATAACTCCATGCCTCCAGGCTGCATTCCAAACTAAGCTGCAGGACTGTCTATTTATTTATTTATTTATTTATTTATTTATTTATTTATTTATTTTGGTGCTGGTAGGGAAAAAAAAAAGAAAGATAAGCAGAAGTTCAGTTCAAAGAAGCTATAATGACTCACAGCAAAAGAGCAGGGACTGAGCAGACCCAGAACTAGTCATTTCACCACAGGGAAGTATGAGCAAGCCATCAAAAATAGACATGATTTGGGCTGGAGCGATAGTACAGCAGGGAAGGCATTTGTTCTTGTGCGTGACCAACCTGGGGGTCGATCCCCTGCATCACATATGGTTCCCTGAGCACTGCCAGGAGTGATTCCTAAGTGCAGAACCAGGAGTAACCCCTGAGCATTGAAGGGTGTGACTTAACAGAAAAAATAAATAAATTGACATGAGTCGCTGGCAAGACCCACCTTTAGCAGGAAAGCATTGCATTAAGTTTTTTGTTTTTAGTTGGGACACACCTGGTGGTGCTCAGGGTTTACTCCTGGCTCTGCATGCAGGAATTTCACTTCTGGCAGGCTCAGGGGACCATATTATATGCCTGGGATTGAACCAGGTCAGTCGCAAGCAAAGTAAGCGCCCTACCCACTGTACTATCTCTCTAACCCAGAAAAGCATTTTCACAGCAAGTCATCATATGATAAATTTGAGTCCAGACTTACCATGGACTTAAGAGCTTCAATGGTGAGATTTCCACAAGCAGAAAAGCAGAGCAGGTTAGAATGGTTGCAGTCTCCTACCAGAGACTGGGAATGCGCTCAGTGTTAGAGCAACTCAGGGTCCTCATGCATGGGACCCTCGGTTTGACCTGTCCCCCATCCCAATAAAGTGCCTAATGAGGAAAGATACTGATCCTCACTTTAACCAGTTCTGAAAGTTAGCGGCCGGCAATAAGAAAAACCAGTATTTGAAATACCCCTATTAAAAAATGCAGTAAAAGTGTATTACTTAGAGTCAAGTGTTCCAACCTTCAGTCCTGCCACTTATTAGCAAAGTGCTTGAGGTGAATCACTTTGATATTTTGCCAATTTCCTCCTATAAAAGCATGTACTGACAGGAAGAGAAGAGCAGGAGGGGGTACCTGGCAGTACCCTCAGCCCCCACATCCGCTGCTAAGGACAGTCTCTGAGGCGTGACCTCCACCTTTGAGCACCACTTCCTTTTCTGGGTGACTTCTGAGAATCAAAGGATAGTGAGGGGCCGGGGTGGTGGCACAGTGGGTTGGACATTTGCCTTGCACACCACCGATCTGGGTTTGATTCTCGGCATCCCATTTGGTTCCCCAAGCACTGCCCAGAGTAATTCCTGAGTGCAAGAGCCAGGAGTAACCCTTGAGCATGGCAGGGTGTGGCCCCAAAAACAAAATAAATAAACAAGAAGAATGAGAAAGAAAAGCATACCCATGGGTCAGAGACCAAGTAGGAGGCCTGACTCTTTGAATTTGATCTTGAGCAAGCAGCAAGATAGAAATATAAATATGCCGTGTGCCTCAGTTTCCTCTGCAAAATGTGGCTGGAAGATTTTTTTTTTTTAAAGTGTGAGCAGCTAAGAAAATCCAGCGGTTTCCTGATGAAAGGCCCCAGCTTTTGCTCTTTTCCCAGCTCTCCCGATGGCTCTCCCCTCCTCTTAGGAGACAAGGCATAGATCCAGAAGCATCCCGGCCGGGCTGAGGCATTACCTGCACTGAGCGCCCTGTCCTCAGCCCTCGCCTCAGCACCAGGTGGAGTGCATCGGCATCCTTGCTCGTGGACCGCTTCTCTGCAAAGGCCAGGAAGGTGTCTGCAGGGGCCACGTAGAGCAGGGCAGGGATCCGGTAGGTGACCCCTCGCTTGCCTTCCTGCTGGAACAGAGGGGTGCTGGAAGGGCATGGCATCACTTCTTCCAGGGCCTCTGCAAGGACAGGAGCAGCTAAATACAGGTCCCCAATCCCAGACAAGAAGGCTGCACACACATTCTGTTCCACCACTCCCCATGGGACAACAGGGAGGCTAAATTCTGGTTTTAAAGGTAATGTCACCCACTCAACGGTGCAAAACAAGCATGAAACACATATACCCTCCATCCCTGTGCAAATTCTGTACTAGTCTGTCTCCTGTAGATCCTTCCAGAGCAGAAAGACGTGCATGTCTTTCTGGCCAGGTGTCCAGGGTCTCACCCGCCCAAAGACATATGGATGGAGTTAGATTTCAGCTTCTTAGCTGGTGCTTTTTAGGTCACTCGGGAAATAAGTGTAAATCCAGGAGAGAGTTCAAAGGGCTAAAGAGATCGCGTGCCTGGCATGCGGAGGCTCCAGGATTGATTCCTGATACCACATGGTTTTCTGAGCACTGGGGGGGCTGTGGTGTCTCCCTGAGATTTCTATTTTTCAATTTACTAACTATAGACCCCAATCCACATGAAAGAATGTCTGTGATTCAGAATTTTCCAGGACCTGAGAATATTTACCTTGCATGTGTCAAGCCCTAGGTCCAATTCCCAGCACTGAAAAAAAAAATTCTCCAGGGCAGACCAGGGAGTGGCTCAAAGGGCACAGTGCTCCCAAGTACCACCCCAGAACTATCCCCAAGCACTATGATGAAAGTAGTCTCAAAGTACCACTGGGTGTGGCACTTTGTGTGTATATGTGTGTCTAAGAAAAATGTGTGTCTGTTTGTCTTATATACATATATATGTATATGTATTTATATATACATACAAATATGTATATAATAAATTAAAAATAAAAGTCCAGGGAAATTTATTTTTCTATGGGAGACTAGGATAAGATGTAGTCTTCTTAAGGTATTGATGTGTTCCCCCCAGGTGATCCTGTCAATGGGTATACAGCCGAGAGGCTACAGATTTTGCTAGAGATGACAATAGCTTCATTCACTGCCATAAAGGTCAAACTTCTAAGTAAAACCAATAAACAGGAAGGGCAGTGGAAGTGAGGTTAAGAACAAAAGACTTGCGCTCGCTTCGGCAGCACACATACTAAAATTGGAACGATACAGAGAAGATTAGCATGGCCCCTGCGCAAGGATGACATGCAAATTCATGAAGCATTCCATATTTTTTTAAAAAAAAAAAGAAAGAAAGAAAGAACAAAAGACTTTGGTTTTTGGTTTTAGAACCCTTGGCAGTTTTTTCTTTCTTGCATAATTCAGCAATAAAGGACTCTGTTATATTTTAACACAGGGGCTTGTGACTTAGCTTGCCCTAATGCTGAAAAATGGAAATCTACAGGTAATACATTTGATTTTTTTTGGGGGGGGGGGGCGGGGGGACACCATACCTGCTAGCAGCTGGCTGCTTCCTGCTCTCAGCAGGACTGGGGAGAACACACAGAGCCAGGCACTGACCCTGGGCTGGCTGCATGCCAGGCAAGTGCTTTAACTCCTTTACTCTCTTCCCAGCCCTCCAAAAAAGCCGGTATTCTACTTTTCAGAGGCGCAAAAGAATCACGGATGGAATAAAGTTCAGAATTCTTTTCCCTCTCAGTGCCATCCACGTCCTACCAAATAAACCATGTGTAAAATTTATTAGGCTGTAAGAATGAATTCAGCCCTTAAGGGACTTAGTTCATAAATATTTCAGGTGCCTACCATGAGCCAGGTCATAAAGCAGGTGCTGAGGAGAACAGAAGAAAATCACAAGTCCCTGTCACCAAGAATCCACAACAAAAGCCAGAAAAACAGACACAGCCAGAGACAAGTGATGACGTACTAGTGCCACTTTAAAGTAAACACAAGGGTGTGTCCGAACCAGAAAAAAAGCAGATAGAGGCAGTGATATCTGGGGAGGTGGTATCTCATTCCCGCAGCGCTTTGTGCTTGAAAGAGCTTCCTTTCAGAGGGCCACAGACACCCTCACCTCCTTGGTTCTGTTCCAACTTCCCACCATTGATGCCAACTCCCTTACATCCTCTCAATGACTTCCTATTGGTGACAATCCCCCGCTGCCTCTGCTGTCCCCCTGCAAGCCCCGTTACCTGCTCTAGTCTCCACACCTGCTCTAGTCTCCACATTCTCTTCTCATCCACAGAGGAGAGGTTCCAGAGTAGCAGGGAGGTGTTTATTTTCTTCACTGCTCTATCTCTGCGTCTCATAATTGCTTCATAATGGTTAGGCTCGAAAGTGTCTGTTAATGATCAAGTAGTCGGACTGGATCTTAAAAGGAGGAACAATGGATTAACAGGTGAGGAGTAAAAGGAGAAGGATTAATGTGTGTGAACAGCCTGATAATGATAATAATAACATGTATGATAATGACGATATGTCATGAGAGATGACTAGAGTCAATATTAGAATGGAATGTAAAGGCATGGGCAGACAGGACTGAAGGGTTACAGCACAGTCCAGATTGAGAAAGGTTCCTTACCTTGCTAAGGAAGGCTCATCTGATTTGAGAGGGAGCCATCCAAGAGTTTATGAAGCAGAGAGACAGTATGATCAAGTTCGCTTTATTTATTTATTTATTTTGCTTTTTGGGTCACACCAAAAAGCGATGCTCAGTGGTTACTCCTGACTTTGCACTCAGGAATCACTGTTGGCAGTGCTCAGGGGACCATATGGGATGCTGGGAATCGAACCCGGGTGGGCCACATGCAAGGCAAATGCCCTACTTGCTGTATTATTGTTCCAACTCCTCAAGTTCTCATTTTTGATCAATCTTTCTGACAGTCTGTGGGCAATGAACTGAAGGGGAAAATTATAACGCTTTGGGCCCTTCATGTTTTTCCCCCTTTTTAACTTGTTGTTTCAGGGCCTGCTCCTGGCTCTGCACTCAGGAATCACTCCTAGCGGTGCTCAGGGAATAGTTTGGGGTGCCAGGGAAAACATGGGAAGAAAGGCCCAATTTGGCATATGACTCGAATCCTGTCCCGACTTCTCGGTATGTGACCTTATTATGCTAGAGACTTCAATTTCCAGCTTGTAAAAGGGAACAAAATAATATCCCTCAGATGATCAATATGAAGAATGACTTTCAAAGTGCCTTATGAACTTTAAAACACAAGTCCAAGTATCTTACAAATTCTGATGCCTTCCAATTTCACTTCCTGTCTTGCTATGACTTCACTGCTAAAATTGCTGTCATTACGTTTCAGTACTAACCAAACTAGCCCAGCTACTAGCAGGAGCAGCACAGACAAGTAACTCTGGCACTGAATCCCAAACTAGGTAAATCAGATATAGTTCCACCTGAAAAATTCTTTTTCAGCAGAAAATTCAAATTGCTGCTCTGTATAATCACCTTTTAATCTAGGCTGCAGATCTTCTGGGAGAGTGCAATGTTATGTAGCTTTTGAAGTTCTTAGCTTTGATGTTTGCAAGTCACTTTACAACTTTACCTTTGAGCTTTATATGGAGAAGAAACTAATATCCAAAAAAAAAAAATTTTTTTTTTTTTGAAGTGGAGGGCATACCCAGCTGCGTCCAGGGTTACTCCTGGCTTTGCATTCAGAAACCACTCCTGGCCCTGCTAGGAGAACCAAATGGGACGCTGGGAATCAAACCCGGGTCGGCTTCATGGAAGGCAAGCGCCCCACCCTCTGTATTATCCGTCCAGCCCCTAATATCAGCTGTTTCGGGCTAGGAACAGAGTTAAGTCCACGCTTCATCCACACCGGGGCAGCAGACAGCCTCAAGGGCCCGCCAGTGGGGCTCCCATCCCGCTTACTCTGAACCCTCCAGAAACACACAGCCGCCTGTGCGCACCACCGGTGGCTCCCACTTGGCTGGGGCTTGACGCAAATTGCAGCACCTGCACGAACGTGGTAAGGAGCTCCCATCCCGTGTCAAGCTTTCCGGGGGTGCAGATGAGAAAAGCGCAGGCCCACAGAAGAGGGTAAATATACATCCAGCCTCGTGGCAAAAGCCCCAGGGGGCCCTAGATTCCACTCAGGGTCCTGCCACTGGCAGGAAACCCTCCCTGGAAGCGCTTTCCTAGAGGCAGCTCCCTGCATCTCTACGGGCCAGCTGTAAAGTTCAGGTGTGGCGTCAGAGGCAGGGATAAAGGCAAAAGCCACCCCCAGTGCAGGCTCCTGCGCGCCAGCGAGGCTGACTCAGGATTCCTAGGCTCCAGCCCGCGTCCCGCGGTGACCCCGCTAAGTCCCCGGCGCTCACCTGCCCTGGACCCGGGCTCCTCCATGGCCCGGCACAGCTCTGGAGCGCGGCAGGCTCTCCGCCCTGGGACGCCGAGGCCCGGGACAAGCCCCCCGGGGCCGAGGCCGACTGCGGACGACCACACAAACCACGCCGAGAGCGGTTCAGCGGAGGAAACGGAGCAGCAGCGAAGCGTGAAAACGGCTGCAGGCGCCCGTTGGGACCTGCCGTTAAGAGCTGCGGAGTCAGCCCCGCCCCCCCGGGCGGGCTGCAGCCAGGCCCCGCCCCCAGAACGCCCGCCCCCTTTCCCAGCCGCAACCGAAGCTCCGCCTCCCTCGTGCCCCGCCCCCTTCCCCGCCCGCAGCCGAGGCCCCGCCTCCTGGACGTCTCCAGGACGCCCCGCCCCTCCACGGCCGCAGCCGAGGCCCCGCCCCGCTCCTCGCCGCCGCCGAAAGCTCGCACCCAGGACGCTCCGCTGGGTGCCGGTTCCGGGACCGATCCAGTCTGCCTCTTCCTCTCCAATCCGTTCCAAATTCCGCTCAGGCTGCGGGCCTATCGGGCTCCCAGCAGCAGCGCCGCTCGCTGGCCCAGTCTTCTTACGCTTCTCGTTAGTCCGCACATTTTTTTCCATGCCACCGTATCAAACTTCCCCGGGGGACCCTGTGAGCCAAGCTAAGGTTCCGGTCTCAGAGAGGACAGCCAGAGCACTGGGCCAGACACACTCTAAACTCTATTATATATGGCACACCTGTGTGCGTGGATAGACTGAGAAAGTTGGAGTATTGTATTTAAGGCAGTAGATAAAAGTCAGAAAAACCCTTTTGAGCTACTGAAACCAATGCCTGTGTTTAAATGTTTGCAAGTCAATTGTCTCATCATGTTAATGAGAATGTTTGATGCTTGTGTGGTAAACAGTAAAATATAACGGCCTGAAAGCACCTTTCTCTAAAAGTGATGTGATATTTGAGCTGTGAAGTACATATGTAAAAGAAAAATGGTATTTGTTAGTTTTAAAAATAAAATTAAATGTCAACCCATGAACCCATATTGATAGGTATAAATGGAAAAACCATTCATTACAGTAAAACACCAATGAATAAATTTAGACTGTATGCCAACTACTTGAAAATAGTGTGGTTTATGCGGAATACCTCATTTCCTTTCAGGGATCTAGAATATTATTAAATGGCAGATAGGGGGTGGCCATATGAGGAGCTCCTAATAAAAACTGCAGGTTCTGAGTCTCTAAGGGACTGACGTAAACAGCAGATAGAGGAGGGAGTGCAGCCTCAACCACATATCTTACTGTTTCATATACATCACTTCAGAAGGAAAGGCCAAGGGAATATTGCTGTGGATGTTACAACAGGATGTTACTGAAAAGGAACTGAACTAACCCAGTTTGTCCTAAGACAGAAACCCAATGTCGAGGCTTCAATAACCACCTCCCTTCATTTTACTCTTAAAAAAACAAATCTCACCTAGTAGAGATGTAGCATGCTAACAAGACATGCATCCTATGACTTAGATATAAAAACTGTAAGTCACTCAAAACAAACACACACGCAGTTACAAGTCAAAATTAAAAGAAAAAGAGAGCACGAGGAAATGGAAAAATATCCCATGTCCATGGGTTGGCTCTGCTCAGGGATCACTCCTGGTGGGCTTAGGGGACTTTATGGGGTGCTGGGGATCCAACGTGTATTGGCTGCATCAAGCAAAGTGCCCAACCTGCTGTGCCGGGTGTGGCTCTCAAAACAGAATAACTACAATTATCTGATTACATACTTTCCAGAGCTTCAACTGGCTTCCAGATTATTATTATTACCCGAAGAAGGTACGGAAGTGAGATGGGCAATGAATTAAAAAATTGCAGAATTGCAACACTTACTCAGGTATTTACAGGAATAGACTACAAGGTTTTAACTTCTCCCGTGATCTATCTACAATCTATGACTGTGTGACACTATCTAGCATAACAGTCTCACGGCAGAGAAAATGCAGTAAGCATCATTCCTATAAGCTGAATATAGCTGTATGTACTAGACGCAGCTGTAATGTGCTTCTGTAAGGTTATAGGAATAATATTCCTTAGGTCACAGGATCTGGGCAAATAGTGCTTTTTTGACCACAGGAAAAAAAGACTGTTCACAACTCTGGAGACAGACTACCCTAGCTTAAAGCTGAGTTCTATCAACTTGCTGTCACTGTCCTCCCGTTGTTCACTGATTTGCTCGAGTGGGCCCAGTAACATCTCCATTGTGAGACTTGTTACTGTTGGCATATCGAATACGTCACAGGGAGCTTGCTAGGCTTTGCTGTGCGGGCGAGATACTCTTGGTAGCTTGCCGGGCTCTCTGAGAGGGACGGTGAATCAAACTCGGCTCGGTCGGGCTGGCTGTGCGCAAGGCTATCGATCCTGCCCATCAACTTGCTAAGTGATAAATTTGGGAGGAAAGGGGCGCACCCAGTGGTGCTCAAGGCTCACTCCTGCCAGGGCTATGGGGTGCTGGAGATTGAACCCAGGTCAGCCAAATGCAAGACAGGAGCTCTGCCTGCTGTCCTCTCTCAGGCCCTGCTACTTGACAAATGTTTAACTCTCAGTGCCTCCCGTTTGTTTCCTCATCTATGAAATGAGGATAACAGCTCAGGAACGTTGTAAACATCTGTGAGTTAATCCATGTAAAGAACCCAGAATACTACCTGGCACAAGTTGTTTCGTATTTTAATTGTTATCACTAGTAAGCCATCAGATTCTTAGCCAACAGTTTCTCAGGAGCCTTTGAACCATAAAGAGCAAAAACCCCAAAGGAACCTTTGGTAATAAGACTTAAAATTCACTGCTCCATTCTTCCATCGAGACTCTGACTCCATTTTTTCACATCTTTCCTTTTATTGAAAAAAAGTTTAGAAAATGGCAGTTAATAAAGGGCACAAACAAATCAATAGGGATATTACTAGTGGAGAACATAGACAATATAAAACTGAAAATGCCATTGGCTTCTTTAATTGGTTAAGAGCACAAAATGTAACAGGCAGAGGTTTGTTTTAAACAAATTAAAAAGCTATGTTCCCCCCACCCAGTTCTCCCCAAGTGATACACACACCCACAAAAACGGTGTGTGTGAAGGAAAGCTGTCATACGTGAGAAGATGTGTCCTGAATTAAGAGAAACAGCTATTGAAATAGGAAGTAACACTATGAAGCCAGCAAAAGATTGATTTTAAAAGTCAAGTCTTCAAATGTTGCATGGCACAAAGCTATAAAGTACTGCTACGTGATAAGGAAGAACTCTGTACAGCTTTAGCAAAAATGCTTTTCTAGAAAAGCAAATTAAAACAATGCAATCAGCAGACCAAGGAGGCTAGAGCTAGATAGCACAGCTAAATTTCTCACGTCTGAGCTAGAAAATCCTACTTATCCATAATGGTCTAAAAACTCAGGACAAACAGGGACTTTTTTTTTTTTTAAACATTTCTACCTTTAACCATTTTATGTTCTATTTCTTCCCCTCTCAGCCTGTAATTCAGCTGCTTTAAGCATCGACTATTTTATTTTCCTTTCTGTGGCGAGACTGTCATGGAGCCGGGATATTTCAGGCTCATACGCATCCATGACCAGCGTCCCGCTATGGTCAAAGAACTTAGCAATGGACTTGGTGAATTCAGCTTCTCGCTGCTGCTTTGTCCTCCCACTGATGAAGGTCAGCTTCAGGGTGTATTTATCATCGAACCTATGCAAAGACAATAAATCAAAATCAAACACAGATCCAGCCAGTAATAACAGAGCACCAAATGTTTTCAAAGAACAGGATCAATCTGGTTACTGGTGATGTAGGGAACTCACAGCCCACTCTATAAAAACAAAACCGGAAGCAAGCACTCCTACCAAGGTTCAAGGGGTTTGCCACATCTTCCCCGATTTGAATAATGAACCTTATTGACCTTGTCATAAAATGCCTGATGGTCTCTTACCTACTGACCTCACAGCTGTGCTAAAACTTGTCTCCCATCTCTCCTGACTAGTTCCTGGTCAATTTGGATGGCAACTATCCTGGGAAAAATTCCCCCAAAGCACTCCCAAAATGGATCAGATGTTATTTCTCTGTTCTCCAAGGTACCATCGATCAAGAGTATTCTCCAACACTGAATGCTTAGACGATTCCAGGTCTTCTGATCAGAGTCCTCTACTATCAATTTCCCACAGCACCGTTCACTGAAGTGCAGTTTAAGTCTTTGAATTCTTCACTAGACTGGGGGATGCTCTGGGGAAGGGGAGGGTTGGGCCATGCCCATGCTCAGGGGCTATTCCTGACTTCTGTTCAGGAGTGACCAGTCCCAGTGCTGAGGAGACCAGATACAGTGCAAGGTGTGTGCTTCTCTCCTCCCAATAAAAGCAGCTTACAATGAAGATGGGGCAAAACGCAAGAGAAACAAGGTAAAGCAGAAGGTCTGAAAACCCTCTTGGATAGCAGACAAGTAACAAGTGGACTTTCAAAATGCCAAGAAAGCAGGGAAAGAAGCAAGCAAATGGGAGAATGGGACAGCGAAAATGAGGTAAAAGGACTGTGGACCCCACCAGGGATAAAAAACTGTTGAGACAGGAGAAACACGATCATGGAGACACAGGAGCTAATAGGGTTCCCATCTTTGCCCAGTACACCTATATTCTGAATGGCTCAATTAACTGGCTACAGGGAGGGAAAAAAAACCCTTTCCCACCAAAGTTCTTTCTCTTACAGTTCATCCTGCAAGCACTGCTGTGATAATACAATCTCAGAAGTGCAGAGCCAGAAAAGCTCTTTAAGATTATTCACACCCTCTTCTTCATTTTGCATGACTCGCAGTATCAACCGTACAGCATAGTACATAACAGTCTTGTTGACAACGGTTCAACGCCCTGGTAAATCAACACTGAGATGAACGGATCTGAAAAGGTACCCATACCTTTTGAGGCTAGAGGACAGCTGCCAAATATCATCGGGATCCATCCCTGTAGGATCTTTCCTGTGGGCCACGAGGAAGATGCTCTTCTCTTTATACGAGGTATAAATGGTCAGGATTCCCATCATTACAAAATAGGTTCAAATAAAGTTAAGGGAAAACGCACATGAACATATTCATAAAAGAGAAATAACACAAACTGACAAGTCAGGGTAATACAAACTTTCCTGGCCCCAGTCCTAAAGAAGAGTTCTGTTGTACACTAAAATTTAGCTACCTCATGTCATTCTTGTATTTATATATCAAGAGAAGCAAACACTCTAGATAGTTCTCCAAAGAGTAACACAAAAACAGAGGAAAAATCAGCTTGTCTTTCTGTTCAAGAAAAATAAACAAGATCCTCATTTACCTACTTTGTCAAGACTGATACTTACTTGACCATACTCAACCAATTTTAAGAGTCAGTATTAGAAAGGAGGGAAGAGGGGGAAGAGGTTTCATGTTAGTTTACCATGTGAATATCTCCTGCATGCACACTGGCGTATTAATCTTTGGCTTTTGAAAATAACTACTGTGTCTTGAGTTCCTACAAAGTGACGAACTTGCTTAAGAGCTTTGTGTACATCTGTCCTTAAAATGTTATGAAAGTGAGGGGCGGGAAAATAGAGTGCAGTGTATGATTTCTGGAGTAAGGCAAGATGTGAATTCTGATTTTTTGTTTCTGAGCTACACCCAGCAGTGCTCAGGACTTACTCCTGGCTCTGCACTCAGGATCACTCCGGGCGAGCTTGGACAACCATATGGAGTGCTGGGGATTGAACCCGGTCAACTGTGTGCCATGGCAATCGCCCTACCTGCTGTGCTATCCCTTGGGCCGGGGAATTCTGGTTTGCAACTAACGTAACCTTGACAAAATCATTTCCTTCCCCAAGTCTTAAAAGTCATCATCACTAAAATCGTCAATACTGAAAACAATCGTGACTTTTAGAAATATGTCTGTAATGTCCTATTACCTATATAAGTGATTCTCAATTTTTGTTTTGGGGACCCTCCTGGGGGTACTCAGGGCTTAACCCTGGCTCGGTGCTCAGGGATCAGTGGTGGTGATGCTCGGGGGAGCAATATGGTGCCGGAGATCAAGCCAAGCTTTGTGCAAGGCAAGCACTAACCTTTGGTCTTCCATCTCCAGCACTAAAATGTTTTGTTTGAAGGAAACTAAATCCATCAAGGCAGTATTCTTATGGGGCTGCATCTTTGTAATAACGTTGCTCTCATAGTTCAGGGATCCTTGGAACTGTGGGAACTGCGTCCAGAACTTATAGCGCACTCCTTTGAATTACAATGATTTATAAAAAAGAAAAAACCCACGATACTTTCTGTGGTTGAGTCAAATATCAACAAATGGGGCTAGGATTAGGATTTAATTTGGTGATGCCAGCTTAGGTGAGGACTGCTTTACTAAATAGCATGCTACCTGCCCCTGGAGAAAATCCCCTAAGTGGAATTTTTAGAAATATTTCAGGGAGCAAAAACACTTGGTCCGTGTTTCAAGTGTTCTGGGCGGAGCAATAGCACAGTGGGTAGGGTGTTGGCCTTGCTCACGGTGGACCCGGGTTCAATTCCTCTGTCCCTCTCGGAGAGGCCGGCAAGCTACTGAGAGTATCCTGTCCGCATGGCAAAGCCTGGCAAGCTCCCCGTGGTGTATTCGATATGCCAAACACAGCAACAAGTCTCACAATGGAGACATTACTGGTGCCCTCTCAAGCAAACTGATCAACAACGAGAACAGTGCTACAGTGCAGGCTACAGCAACAACACTGTTAAAAGAAGTTAACTGCCTACCAAAATAATGTTTTAATAACTAATACACTGTGGCAAACATTAGTCAATCAAAAGCAGAATAACTTTTAACAAGCTACTGGGGTGGGGGGTCAGAGCGATAGTACAGCGGGTAGGGCATCTGGCTTACACACGGCAATCTGGGTTCGATCCACCACATCCAATGGTCCTCTGAGCACCACCAAGAGTAATTCCTGAGTGCAGAGCCAGGAGTAACCCTTGAGCTTCGTTGGGTGTGACTCAAAAAGCCAAAAATAAGTAAAAATTTAAAAATAAGCTATAAGGCCTTTATAGTCTCAAATGGAAAGATCCTCAATATGAAGAAAAGTGCTATACAGTAAAGGGAGTGCTGGAGTGGGGAATGGGAACCACCAGGAAACTGGTGCCATGAACATGTAGAATTGACAGTAGCAGTAAAATAATTTTTATTTCATTTTCTGACAAATCACAGCGTAAATAACAAATACAATTCCATACTATTAAATAAAAGGAGGAAAGGAAACATTCCAGGCTGACTATATCTCAAACACATTATAAAATCTTTCACTGTGTAATCTCTTTAATGTAATTCTAAGTGCATATATTTCATACTGGTGAACACTAAATAGTTTCCCTGAAAAATTAAGCTCATATTAGCACAAGTTCACCAAACACCCTAGATTTCAAACCCAGGTTCTCAACCTTCTCAACTATATAGTTACACAAGCCACACCATTACCTCTTGCATAGTCCTTTGTAGTCCCACCCTCAACTTCAAGGAAATCTGAACTGCCAAGATCTGGCCCTCCCGTTGATCGTCGATTTGCTCGAGCGGGCCCAGTAACGTCTCCATTGGAGACTTGGTTGTTACTGTGTCTGGCGTATCGAATACTCTCGGTAGCTTGCGGGCCTCTCCGAGAGGGGCGGAGGAATCGAACTCGGGTCGGCCATGTTGGCCGCGTGTAAGGCGAACGCCCTACCCGCTGTGCTATCGCTCCGACCCAAGATCTGATGTTTTTCTAATATCCGGGAATGAATGCTCATATGCAGCCCCGTCTAATAGGAAAAGTTCTGAGCTAAAAGTAAGAGCTAAAGTCTATTACTATGTTCTGCTACTAGGTGCTTAACTTGGATTATCATAGCCTCTATATTAACATCTAAATACCAAATGTAAATAACCCAAAGAAATTAGCAATAGCCACGAGAAAACAAACATGAATAGAATAAAGGATATGATATAACGCACAAAGCCAAAACAGGTTTGGACTCTGGAAATGGGTGCATATAATCCCAAATCAAAGCTACTATGGCAAAGAAACAAGAGATGGTACAGATGGTGAGGCGACCGTCAATCAGACCAAAATTCTCCACATACTTGTACTTTTCCAGAAGTACCTAGAAGGAAAGAAATCAGCCCAATAAGAATGCATCCCTCCAATTACCTGCTTTTTTTTTTTTACATTTCCATGATAAAACTAAAGAATTATAAAAAGTTTGCTCCGATTAAAATTTTACCACATAATCAAAAACGTACACTATTTACAAGGGACTTCAGGGGGAAAGATTATCCAATTTCAATTTCCCCAAAGGAAAATGAGCTTTCTTTGCCTTTTTAAAACTGAGAGACAGTGACCGGAATGATTGTGCAGCGGGTAGGGCATTTGCCTTGCATAAGGCCGACCAGGTCCGATTCCTGGCATTCAGTATGGTCCCCAAGCACCACCAGAAGTAATTCCTGAGTGCAGAGCCACTGGGCATCAGCAGATGTGACCCCAAAATCAAAAAATAAAACTGAGAAACAATTCATTATGAAAGAAAGTTCTTTATTTCCTCAATCTTCTCAACTCCTGGAAAATTAACTCAAAGACAATAGCTTATACCAGCTTTCTCTAATTACAAACATTGCACAGCTAACATTCATTACTTTTTTTGGGATCCCATTTCATGGTTCCCAGGAGACCATAGGGTGAAAGGGATTGAACCCGAGTCTCTAGCATGTAAAGCATGCATGCCAGCCTGTTAAACTCTGTTCAGCACTAAATTTATATGTTTTAACACACTGTAAGGATTTTAGAAACTGCCATCTGGCTCAGTTGCTAACACTGAAAACTAAGGTCATTCCAAGTCAGAAGAAAAAGATCCTATAGCAGATGGGCCATCAGCTGTATAGAGGCTAACAGATCCCCCCAGAGTAAAATCAACAAAGTACCTTTTTGGCAGAATCATCCAAAGAATTTTTCACAGCTGATCCATCCCATTTGTCAATTTTCACAGGTTTGTCATCAATCTTCCACTGTGAAAAAAACAACCAAGGGTTGTGACACCTTACTCAAAGTAAACAAATGACTTTCTTAAGCGCATCCTCAAGTATACATGACACTGATTCTATCTCTGGATGCTGCACAGCTGAAAGTCACTTAGAAGTGGGATGGAAGGAAACTAGGTCACATCAATAATACGCTACACTGACAAGTGAAAAACCTAACGAGCCCCAAAGCACACACATGGGCTGCAGCCTAAGTGTGAACTTGGCAAATCCCACCCCCATCTACCCAAACAGGGATTACAGAAAGAAATGAAATGCATTTGTTCCTTCTTTCATTCTGTGACCACAAAACTCAGAAGTACCATCCATAAACTTTCAATATTAATAACCCTAAAGAGGTCTTCGGGACAAAGAGATAGTACAGTGGTTTGGCAATCGCCTTGTATGCAGCCTATCAGGTTCCATGCCCGCCATCCCCTACTGTCCCCTGAATCCACCAGGAGCGATTCCGGAGTGCAGAGCGAGGAGCAATTCCTGAATAGTGCTGAGTGCCACACACACACACACACACACACAAAAAAAAACCACAGGAAAAAAAAGAACCAAGAAGGGGGTATGGTGCCGCCAGAAGGTCAATCTGTACCTGTGAGGTGAGTGCATCAGCATCCTGATGGCAACGTCATTCTTTCAGATACCCCAAAATTGCTTCTGTGCCTTTGGTCAGACCACAAAAACTTGGGGCAAAGTTTACCAAGAAAGTAAACGGCCAAAAGTTAGGTATGTGGGAGACACACCCACAAACCATCTCCGGCTCAGCTATATAATTGGAGGCAAGGCCTCTCTGGTTCCTGATCAAACTGCTTAATGGCCATGACCCAGAGACTCAGAAACGAATCTCGGAACCAAAAGACTTTTGGCAGAAATGCATCCTGTTCCTGCAGTAGGTTACTGGGGCTGGGCCACTCCAGGTGGAAATAGGTTTCCTGCCTTGGCCTGTTCTCCTTGGCGGCCCGGAGACCGTCATCCTCCAGAGGCCACTGGACAGTCAGGTTTGGGCCTGCAGTGACGAGACATGCGGTGCCTCACCAGATGGGGGTGGAACCGGCCCTTTCCTCCCCATCCCAGCGAGATCTCAAGTCGCCACCTACAAATGACCTCTCTGGCTCCTGATCAAGCTGATTAATGGCCATGGTCCCAGAGACTCAGAAACAAATCTCGAAACCCAGCGGCTTTTGGCAGAAATGCACCTGGACCGCATACACAGCCATGGCTCCAGAGGCCAAAGGACTTAATCCAGAGCCTGGCAGCTTGCAGCAGAACTAAACTACGGTCCCATGCCTCCCCGGGAGGGAAAGGGTGTTGCTCCCTTCCGCCTTTTCTCCCCTCAACCTCAGGCAGCAAGGTGGCTGCCGCCTCAGAGCTTAGAGGAAAGCCAGGTATGAGCCGGCAGTGACGGGGCAACTGCAGTCTCATGGGAAGGAGGCAGTACCGGCTTGTCCTTCACGCCCTACTGAGGTCCTGAGTTGCCCCCCATGAGTGGCTTTCTGGCACAGCCATAACACCAGACGCACAGAAACCAATCTCGTAATTATCTGGCTCTTTGCAGAAATCCAAAATTGCATGGCTGCAACAGCGGCCGCACAACATTATATGATTCTCATAACCAGCTATAGAAAACAAAGTATTTCACAATGCCTTTTCAGAAATTCTAATCGTGGGGAGGGAAATTCTAAACAATAATGGTGCATCTTTTGTCAAAATAACGAATGTAATCAATGTAAAGAAGAGTTAAGTGGAAATCATCTGCCTCACAGTCATTGGGAGGCGTGGGGGGGTATATTGGGGTTCTTGGTGGGGGAAAAATGAGTACCGGTGAAGGGAGAGGTGTTTGATCATTGTATGACTGAGACTTAAACCTGAAAGCTTAGTAACTTTTCCCACAGTGATTCAATAAATAAATATAAGACGAAAAATAAATAAATAAAACTATGGAAAAAAAAAAGTAAGGTGGAGTTCATGCCCAATTCAATCAGCTAATCAGTGGCTGAATAAATAACAGTACTCCTACATTAAAAACAAACAAACAAGAAAACAACAACAAAACACCCACAAAAACAAAAAATGAGAAGGGATCTCCTTTAACACATCTTTGTTAGCTAAAAACTTTCACCCACAACAACTCAGCCTAGATCCAATGCTGTTTTTGGAAGTAACAATCTGAATGGGAACTAAAGTCCTTTATATGTGTTGAGACTGAAGAAGCAGTGCTTCAGCTTCCCTCATCTCCAAAGGTTTCAAAAACCCCCATCACTGCGCTCATAAAGAGTGGTTCTCTGAAACTGCTGACAGATGCTCAAAATGATACAATACCCATCCGAAAAAAATGGCAACTGGGAATTAATCTTCTATTTCTGGAAATTTCCCCACACTTGCCTAAACATGAAATAACATACAAGACCACTCACTGCAGCGCATTTATAACAACATGAAATTTGTAAGGAACTCAAAGGCTCATCTACTGGGGCTGGTTGAACAAACTCTAGTACAGCCCCTGGAGCAGGAGTAAGGCGGGAGAGGATGGCGAGGATCTTTACATTTCTAAACTGGTCTTTATGCAGTAAAACAAACTTTCTCAAATTCAAGTGACTGTATGAATATAGCTTAAGATGAGCAGGTGCTAAAAATAACCTGAGGAATCTTCTTTCTATAGAGCACAATGCCCAACTTGATTTTTTTCATCAAGAAAACAAATGCTGTGTATTTAATCAAATTTATAAACTAGCAGGCAATCCAAATTTTGGCTTCAGATGGACCTTATTTAAGGACATGGAAGAGAGCTTCCCATTTATCATTTATATTGAGCACCAATTCAAAGATAGAGCCTACAAAAAAATTTAAAAAAACCAAATACCTACAAAAGGTAACTGAAGAAATTTTAAAGAAAGGCAGAAATATAATTCACTGAAAGTGATTTCCTTCACTTGTTTTTTTTGGGGGGCCCACACCCAGTGAGCCTCGGGCTTAACTCAGGTGGGGGTTGGGGGACTACATGGGGTACCAGGGATTGAACATAGGTTGGTCACGTGCAAGGCAAATGCCTCATCCATTGTACCATCTTTGCAGGCCCCCTGAAATTTTTTTCTTAAACTCTGGCTTAAGAAAATACAGTTGTACACGTATTCGATATGCCAAACACAGTAACAATTGTCACAATGGAGACTTTACTGGGCCCGCTCGAGCAAATCGATGAACAACGGGAGGACAGTGACAGTGACGTGACACAAAAGATAGACTGTTGAGAGAAAAATCTGAAATGAAACTGGTCATATTAAAAATCATGGGGTCAGAGTGACTCTATAGTGGGCAGGGTGTTTGCCTTCCATGCAGCCACACAGGTCTGATCAACCCCACATCCCCAAGAACTGGGACAAACACTCCACCACAACACGCCCTGCCAAATATATAAAATCTAATCATAGTCTGTTCCCGCCCCCCACCACAGCACCTCAGAAAAAACAAGATTTTCTTCAAGAAAATGACTCATGGGGTCTGAGAGAATACAGGGATTAAGGTGTACGTCTGGTGTGGGATAACCCCAGCGCCACAGGCACCCCAAGCATTGCCAGAGCAGTCCTGGAGGGCAAGCAGAGTGGGTGGCTTGGGTAATCCTGGCACTGCAAGGCAGAGCGGCACCACATCCTCAGGCGAGCATTCACAATGAACACCCCTCCGAAGAAAAAAGGAAAATTACTGGCAACAGTACGTGGCAATACTAAATCTCACAGCCTCTAAGAAGTCTATAAATCAAATAGGAGGACTGAAAAAAAAATTTTTTTGGTCGAGAAAAACCTTTGTTGGCAACAAATTGGAAGGTCTGGAATACAATGGATTCATTTCTGGGTCATATCTGATGGTGCTCAGGGACCACTCCTCAGATCTGTGCTCAGGAAATCAGGCAATGCTGGGGATCAAACAAGGCCTTCCCACATGCAAAGCACGCACCCTCTGAGTGATCCCTCTGGCCCTGTGACACCTAATTCTAAAACTATAAACTGAACCACGAAGGAAAAGGCTTTCTAGCTAAACCGCTCGTTTATACTGAAATCTCATCTTTAAAACATGCACAAGAAAAAAACAGATAGAATCCACAGCAAAATCTTATTTATTCATTACAAAACCGGGGGTCATTCCAAAAAGAGTCTTATTCTCACAGACACACATCACTACCTGCCCAGCTTAAAAGAATCTTTACCGACAATTCCGAGCACAATTTTGTGGCCTATTTCCAGGGATGAAGCACAGAAGCTATTACTGCAAGTGCTGGAAGAGCTCAGCGCTCACCCCATAGCCTGGTACCTAAAATCAATCTTCAGCAAGCGGAACAGGAACATTGTCAGTGAACTGCACAAACCACAAATTTATAATCTGTTATCTAAGGAAATGTATCACTCTTTTTGTCTAAATGATAACTTGAGCCTATTTTCAAGGTTAAGAGCATCTCGCTTACAACACAGAGATTCATCTGGAGAGTAGGCAGTACGTGCTTATTTTTCCTAATTTATTTTCCTTCATTCTCAAAAACCTCTCTTCAACCAAAATGGATGCTACTCTCTGTGTGCCCCACTGTTTTTCAGTGGAGCTTAGAAATTATCCCCCCACCCACACCTTTTCCTTTCATGACTCTTAGAAAATCTTTGGGAGGGGGCAGCAAAAGATAAGGCAAAGGATGGTTTCCTTCCTGTGGTATCTTGCACTAGGTTACAAAGAAAAGCTCTGTGCAAAGGAGGGGTTCACGGGATGGGAGAGTGCCACCCTTGGGAAAGGCTGCTTAAAATAATGGTCGTTGGCTGGCAGCTGGGAAGGCAGCTGGCAAACAGTCTCCCACAACTTCACTGTGCTAAAAATGGTTCAGTGTGTCCCAACTGTCTGTTAACAATATGGCTTATGGGAGAACACAGGGTCTCCTTCTAGGAGCCTGGAATCTGGGGACCAACGATGCTAAGGGCACCTACCACTCCTTTAAGAAG